TAGTTCTAAGAGCTTTTCCATTGTAATAGTTATAAATATTGTGGGAAAAGAGCTGCCAAAAATATAATAGAAAATGTAGCTCAAACAATAAGAAATAAAGAAGAATTCCAAATGGGCTCAAATTAAGGAGATAATTATAATGATTAAAAGAGAAATACATGTATGTCAGAAGATGAAATGCAAAAATCTCAAAAGGGTTAAAATAAACCCCAACCAATGGTTTCTATAAAGCCATCCAAAGTGGAGAAAAATGTCTCATTAGAGTCCCACAACTAAAAATTCATAAAAGCACAAAAAGGAGTAAAAAATTTCAAATAAAAGAGCCGAAAAATAATTTTTAGAGAATCCTAGAAATATATTTTAGAGCAATATTTTTTAGAAAAATATATAATAGTAATTATTATTTTTTATGATAGAAGAGAGTTCCATGGAATTAGTTGTAGCCATTAGATCAAAATGCTTAGGCATAATCCTAATAAAGAAGCCATTAATAGATAAATAGTGGTAATATCTCTGAGTATATATAAGGCAAAATGAGAAATAAAAAATAAGTAATTTGTTCCATCAAAATCTTACTTCTCTTATCACCTTATCTTTACTTAAACCTAAGAGCTTCCCCATTCTAATAGTTATAAGTATGTGGGGATAAAGTAGTAAAAAATATAATAAAAGCTTAAATAAAAAGAAAGAAAAATGAATTTTAAATGGGCTCACATAAAGGAGATAATAAACTATTATAACATAGAGAAATATATGTATGTCATGAGATGAAATGCAAAATTCTAAAAAGGTCAAAATAAACTCAAACCAATAGTTGCTATACAGTCATCTTGAATGGGCCAAAATGCTCATCTAGTCCCGCAGCTAAAAACCCATAAAATTGCCAAAATGAATCAAAATTTTCAAATAAAAGAGATGAATAAGGGTAATCCTTCCCAGGTATATAAAGTATCCTCACAACAAAATCTATCAAGAGAAATAAAACACCTAAATAATGTCATCTCATATGGGAAGCCACAATACCAATCACTAAACAAGGCCACATCATAAAATTTCTTTTATTTTTTTTATTTTATGCTTCTAGCTCAACCTGATGAATCTTACATATAATAATAGAAGAACTTTCAAAAATGTTACCATTTTTCCTCATGTTCTTCCTTTAGATGTTATATGAAATGCAATAAATATGGAATGCAACAAATTCCATTTAAAAAGTGAGAGGCATTCTCCATATCATGAACATAGATAAAAAAAAGTTTAAAGTTTTGCCTTAACTAAAATGTATAGCCCAAAATAGCCAACCTGAGTTTTTTATACCTATTAAGGACCCTGTAACCTTTTATTTTAATTAACACGTAAGCTCATTATGGGTTTTACTTAAAAAAAGTATACTGACAACTATAAAAGAGATGAGATGTGATTTTTCAATTTCTTCAATACAAAAAAAAAAACATGCGGATAAGATCATATTCTTACAAAGTTTAAAAAGGAAAAATAATTGATTTTAAAAGGGCTAGAAATTGAGTCGATTTGAGTTAAGCTGGTTTACGCAGCTCATCTAGATCTGTTGGTTTGAAGCTTTGACTACCAACCAAAATATGTTGGTTTGAAGCTTGTGTATATGACGTGTGTTGGAATTTATCGTAATTGGTCTAAATATCCCACCAAAAAAAGTTAAGCTGGTTCCAAGCCTAGTTATATGAACACTGAATAGACTTGATAATCCTAATCCCTATATGCTTGATGATTACTCATACTCTCCTATACCACTAAAACCCTAGGAGAAGGACATTTTGCTTTTAATTTCTTTCTTTTGGCGGCATTCTCTTCAACTCAAAACCTCCCAAAATAAAGGTTGCGATCCTTTGGGGTAACATGTTTGCATATGTTGTTGATCTAAAAGGTTATCCTTGAATCAATTGGTGTTGAAGCTAATGATGGGAGGATTGAGTTCCTATTGTCTAAATTTATTAATTCTATAAGGAAGAAAATTGCTTCTATACCTTATGCTAGTGTTGTTGAAAAATGGAAATGAAGGAAAAATCTGATGATGCATGGTGTTAAGCATGTAAGGACGACATACACTGTAGATCAATTAGGTTTTATTTTGTGTCATGTATAAATGTTGCTCATCAATCTTTAGTTCTAGCTTATTTAGTCGAATGAAATCATGATGCTTCATGCAAATATGCTATTTTTTCTCGGGCAAAACTTTAAGTAGGAACCAGCTGTGATTTACTGGCGAGGGATTATGAAATTTATGTAAAAATGTTAGTTCATGTTTTTTCTAATGTTTTCTATGCATAATTTTTTTTTTTTTTTTGATAAAATTCACTGAAGGGCTTACGCATTAATTTAAAAAAGGGATTAAAAGTTCTTAAAAGGGTTCATGTGCCCACTAATGCTCCGAAGATATACAATAAAAAGAAAATAGAAAACCTATGAGCAAGTGATCCCATCAAAGTACAAATAAATAAACAAACCTAAGAAAATTCTACTGAGGCCAAGAGTCATCACCCGAAAAATGATCAACATGAAGGCAATCAACATCATCATCCTATCAAAAATCCAAAAATGCCAAAAGATAATAAGCATGGAAGAATCTGTTAAGATAGCAACCTGGAAAACAAGATAACCAAAACAAATATCAATCAAAATAAAAATCACAATAGCTGAAACAACCACAAAAGAGGAGGTCTATAGAACAAAGAGGCATACACAACAATAGTAGTAATGGAAAACCTCATAATAGAACCCCAAAGCAAAAGGCTAAATAAGAAAACCACGAAGGAACAAGGGCCACAAAGGAAAAGTAGACAAGGGCAAAGCAAGGAATAAGATCCCCAGGCAGAAGCCCATCAACGAAACAACCAAAAAAACACCACAAAGACCACCAATTAGAAGAACAAACACCCATAAGTAGAACCTAGGACATAGCAAAACAAGGCTCAATAAGATCAACTAAGGAAGCTTGAAGAATGAACAACAAAACCAAAGAGAACAAGTAAAACCAGACCATAAAAAGGAAAAGAAGCATTAACAAGAACCCGCAACATACCATAATGATAAAGAACCAAGGAAACCAAACTCATGAAAATACCAACTAAGGATGCATCACGAAGGAATTAAAAAAACCTACCACCACAAAGAACACAACAAAACCCAATGCATAAAAAAAGTACATCTTAACATAAGGCAAACCAGCTTTATCCAAATGAGCTAAACTCAAAAGAGATTTGGGGAAAGCATAACTAATTTATTCCTTAAAATCTGTTAGGGAGCAACCCGCATTAACCAACCAGTTTGCAAAACTATTAATTAGTTTCATGCCACACATGAGAAATAAGGTAGTTCAATTGAACAAATATAAGCCTGATTTTCCTAACAATATAAAAAGCTAATTATTACAAATAAGGGAATCAAAGTCCATTAATATTTGAATTGTAAACAAAGCATCCACCTCAATTCAATTATCTTGTAATTTAAGAGCTAAACAATTATTTAAACCATACAAAAGTGCCTTTAGCTCAGCATAAATAATAGAACAAGATTGAAGAGGCCTAGCATATTAACATCACCATAACAATTCCTTATAATGCCACCATAACCATAAGCACCCTCTTTGAGAATCATCAGAATTAAGCTTAACAAAAGGGTTAATAAGTTTGATCCAGTAAACAAATATAGAGTTATGGTTAAACTCCCTCAACACAAAGTTTAAACCAAAATAAGAAGTCTCCTCCAGCACCCTTTAATATTTTTAAAAGATAAAAGGTTAGAATTATATAAATTGAAAACTTTATGCTTGACCCTAGAAATAATCCTCATATATATAGTCCATTCATTTGTTATTATGAAAGGTATCATTTCGCTCCAGCCACATAAATCAAAGAACAAGAACATGGATAACATTCCTTATATTCCCTTTGGAATTGTAAAACCAAGAGCTCAAAATGGAAGAAATATTAGAGTTCAATTTGAATTTCCTTATGCTAAAAACATCCTCAAAATGAATCCAAACTTTCCACCACAGGGCCAGAAACAAAAAGATGATTCATAGTTTCCAGATGATAGCAACATCTATATTTGGAAGGTAAATCAAAGCCTTTAGCCATTAAATTATCATCAGTATGGATAAGCATATGCATAACCTCCAAATAAAAATCACAATAGTAGTAGGAATACTCATATGCCAAATTATAGAAAAAATAATAGTAACTGATTTTTTCCTTCTAAAATAGATTCCAAGCCTCTTTTAGAAAAAAAATTATCATAAGTAGAAGCTTTAAATAAAATACAATCCTTTTCATCAACCATTAAAGGAATTTTAGAAATTTGCTTGACTAAATGTTTAGGGATATTCTACAACATCTTAGGAATATTCCAAGAGCTACCATAAATAAAATTATGCACTTTAATAGAAGAAGTAGAATGGGAATAAAATATAGTATCAAATGAAGCTGATCCCATCCAATGGTCTTGCCAGAAGTAAACATTACCAGAGCCAATACCCAAAGAATAAATTTTTAGTTTCCCCCTTAATATTGTAAAGCCTTTTTCAAATAGAAGAATCTCCTCTTTTGAACAATCCAATGATAGGATGTTTATCCAAATCATATTTCCAATTCATAAATTTCTAGATCTCCATGAATTTGAGGACGGAGGAACTGCCATCAAGAACAGGGAGAACAAAAACCACTGCAAAGCAAAAGAACTAGAAACAAATAGATAACACAGCCAGGGGCCAAAGCAGGCCCCAGGCCAGAAAAAATCTTTTGAAAAAATAAATAAATAAATAAACCAGCAAAAAATACAAAAAAAATGGAGCTTAGGATCGCAATGCAGCAGAAATCCTAAAATCGCCAGAGGAGAGTGTTGCGAGATGATCGATGCACAATGATTCACAGAAAGACAGTTTTTTCTATTACTTGAACAGAGAATTTTTCTTGTGGTTGAGATGCAACTAATATCTTTATCTTTTGGTTATTCTAATCTATTAGAGCTGGTATCAAGAGGTCTCAAAATTGAAGGCGAAGTTCGAGTCGTTGCAACGCTCCCACAGGTACGCATATTGAAAAAAAAAAAAAAAAAAACTGGAGAAAACTATTTTTACATTTTCGTGCTCTTTTAATTTTCATAAGAGGTTGTTTAGTTAAATAGTAGTTATTTTTTAGTGAAATCTTTCTTCTATTATCACTTATATAACCTAGAGATAATCGGCCAGATTGTATTGATTTAGCGGATTTAGGGTTTAGGGTTTTTCAAATATGTAATCAAATGAAACTGTTACTATCTCAGCAAACCAAATAGTTCTTGAATCAAAATAGCATTTTTCCTTAGGTCCTATTTCATTTGGTCCTACCAGCTTTGGAATTTTTGAAATAAAAATAATGATGATAATTTTTCTGAAGGCATTTACTTGGAGAGGATCTTGGACCCTTAAACGTGAAGGAATTACAGCAGTTGGAACGGCAACTTGAAGCTGCCTTATCACAGGCCAGGCAAAGAAAGGTGATTCTGGACTTGATTCCTATTTGAATTTATTTAGACTAGATTACAGGATTATTTTAGTTATAGGAAACTATTTTAAACAATTTAAGTATGATTTTCTTAGATGAACTGTGTTCAACATATTAAACCAACTTCTGTTAAATTTGTTTAAACAGGTTTTATTTGCTTTGCATTGTCCCAGAAAGAAGAAAAGTTCTCAAAATTTAAACTAAACAATTGATCAGATCAAGAATTCATCAGGAGATGCTTTAATTTTTGAAGTATAGAAATTTATCTCAAATATTTTACATAATGCTCATGAGCATGCATAGGATCAATTAAAAATATGGGGAGGGCATATGTCAGTTATGTATAGATTAAATATTTAGAGCGTGTAACATTACATCTGTAGAATAAGACTTCGTTTAGGATGACTTTCTTATTGTTTTTAAAGCAACTTTTTAGTACAACTTTCTTATTTCTTCTTAGGTTTCATTTGGGACGGCTTTCCTATTGCTTCTTAAAATAGTTTTTTAGTATAAAAATTAAAAAATTTGTACTAGAAAGTTGCTTTAAGAAGTAGTAAGAAAGCCATCCCAAATGAAGCCTTAAAGCAGTTTTTTAGTACAAAATTTTTTATGCTAAAAAGCTGCTTTAAGAAGCAGTAAAAAAATCGTCCCAAACGAAGCCCAAGTCCAAGACAACTACATCAAGTCTCACGAACTAGACCTTTAGAGCTTCATGCCTAATTCCAGATTCATTTTTAAATAACCATGAGCAATAATTTTATTACTATATTTTATGCAGACGCAAATAATGCTGGATCAAATGGAAGAACTTCGTAAAAAGGTACATTGTTTGCATTTTATTTTGTTGTTGAGATTAAGAATAATGGCAAATGATACTCGTATAAAGCAAATGTAGCTGGTTTGATACAGTTCAATGCATAGTTTAATATTCTAATGGTACAATCAGAAGAGAGAATTTGGGAATGAAAATTATGAGTTAAATTGTTCTTCCACGAGGAAGGAAAAATCAAAATGAGAAGGAAAAAAATAAAAATGCACAATTACTGATAAGGAAAACGAAGAACCTTCTTTCAAAGGTGAAGAAGGGTTTGAATGCCATATGTAGCACAGTAAGGCATCTCAGTTAAATCATGTTGAACTTTGGAGTCCCCATCTACGCAAAATACAAAATAGTCTAGATACACTCTAAGGCGGCGCGAAAAATGCGCCCAAAAATAAGAAGGATCTAGGGATATCCAATCAGCACAAACTTTCTTGCCAAAAACTCCCTCAAGGTGGAAGCAAACCTGCAAAAATCGGCCCTTAGATTTTTTTCTCTTTTTGGTTGATTTTAGCTCTTCGAGCATTTGCGGGCTGATAGTCTCCTTAAGGACTTATAATTTTGAATTATATCAACGCGTAGGCTCCTCTGTGGGTTTCAACTAAAAAAAATGTTGAACTTTGGAGTCATGTTAAACAAAGATAATATTACTAACGTGGATAGTTTTTTCAAAAAGATAATATTAGGAGAGTTATTTAGGTTGAATTCTTCTAAGTAGAAACCTTCCCTTCTCCCAAATCAATTTTATGAAATCAAGGATGTAGATTATGTTGCCCACATATTTACAAGGTTGTCTTTTTGCCCTTTCATTATAATTTAATAGGGATCTTTAGCTATTAGGTTTTATGTTTCTATTGGATATAGCTCTCTAAGCATTAGCTGCTTTAGATGATCTAAGATCATGTAACTATTTTATTACTGCATAGGTCCAAAGAGAATTTTTATTAAAAAAAAAGGAGAATGATTCCATGTTTCTAGGCTATAATTTTTTTTAAGTCATAACATAAGATTATAATGAGTTTTAGAAAACATTTTAATTACAATCACAACTTCTTGACAAGAAGTCCCCATGAGTGAAATAAGTCTTCAATGCCCAAAAGGCAGTACTTCATATAGTGAAAGTCAAATTATCCATACATATTGGCTAGCAGTTGGAATTTTCTGAAACATGTAATTTAGCAGATAGAGAATAATCCAGAGAGGGTGATTTATTTAACCAACCATAAATAGCTTTTTTTTTTAGCAAAAGTTAAAATTCATCAATCAAAATAAATATTGGAACAAAATATTGTACTCTTCAACAATAGATAACATGGGATAACATAAAGGGGGGTTTTACATACATACCACTTTATTTCATATTATTTACATATCTAACACTCAAAACATTAATATTATATGAGTACCACCCATAGAATAAATTTAGGTGCATGGAATGAAATATTAAAATTTATAGGATGGTATGAATGGTAAAAATGAATTATAGGAGTGGTATATTTGATATTAAAGTTGTATATGGGTGATAGGCATGTAATATTAATGTTTTGGGTGTTAGATATGTAAATAGCATGAAATAAAGTGGTATATATGTAAATTTCCCTAACATAAATTTAATTTTTTTTCAATTTGCTGAGTATTTCTAGATTACTAGTTTTAATAAAGAAGTGTTGATATTCATAGTAATTTTAAAAATAAGCCTTCATAACTCGCCACTTCAAAGCATCCCTGTATAAATATTTACTATGCCAATTAATGTAGTAAATTATGTATTGTATAGTCTTTTATATATTTATTGTGAAATTTTTTAAATAAGTATTTTTTTTAATAAAAACATCAAAATACCTTCTTCGAATATGCTTCATAGTTTCTCTTGTATTAAAAGGTGACTGAAGGAAACCCAATGCAATTCACATTTGGACTAAATCATTTTCATAAAAGATTTAGGCTTTGTTTGAGATGACTTTTTTAATACTTCTTAAAGCAGCTTTCTGGTACAAAAATTTAATTTTTGTGCTAGAAAGGTGTTTTAATAAGCAGTAAGAAAGACGTCCCAAACGAAATCTTAATCTTATTGAAATATGCAATTAAAAGTGAAATAAATTTGTGCTAATTTTGGGAGGAATATATAGCTCAATCTTAAGATGGGTAAGATGTAATTCTGACTCGATTTTATACTTCAATATTATTATTTAAACCTTTTATTAAATTTGTTTACATTAACTATATCAAACCATGTTAGAAAGGTATGAAAATTTTATTTGGGGAAGTCTTTTCTTGAGTTGTTATCTTCTTTATGACAAGTGTCATAGTTATAAATAAATTAGTGAAAATAGAAGCCTACTATTTTGGCGTTTTTAGTTGCAACAATAGTTAAAATCTCTATTAGTTGTGCCCTTGGCTTCTTTGAAGAGACCTACTTAGGCCTCATGCCTTGAGTGGGTAAGCAAATATATGAAATAATAATTTATGTATTGACAACATTAACCTTTCTTTCATGAATTTAATCAATGATAACTTAGGATCTAACTAGAGCTTCTTATGTGGCTGGTGCTTTTCTTAAGATAATGGTTATTCTTATGCATTCAAAGTGGTGGACATTTGCTATATCCTTTGTTAGGAATGATTAGATCAAAGCCAACAAGGTCAAAGATGCCAATAGATTGTTATTCAATGTATTTATTTACTCAATCAAGACAAGAGACCTAAATTAGTTATTTCAAGGCAACTAGGGCTTAAGCAACATATATCCCAAAGATTCCCACTAAAAGGCCACAAAAGATCGAGGGCATCTATTTTCATTCATTTGCAGTTAAATATAGCATCAACCATAAGAAAATTTACTATTTAAGAGGAGGCTAATGCTTAAAAATTTACTATCATTTCTTCCCAATGAGGCATACTAATTAGATCCTGCATTTGAGTGATAGATAGTTTGTCTTTTAGAAGGAAAAAACCTATAGCCTTAATCAGACTTAGATTAAAGGCATTTGATAAAAGTTTTAAATAATGATATTGATAATGGTGAATTGGATTAAATGACTTTTAGCCCATCTTAAAATTAAGCTATATGATACTCTTACAATCTCTATAAAGTTGTTTTGTTTTGTTATGTGTTCCCATATATATTGATAATTTGTAAAGATGATTTATTTCAAATATAGATTGAAGGGAGACTGAAGAATATTGAAGAAATGTATTCATATATTTTTTATCAAGAAAATTTGCCTTGACAAGTTTTAGATAGCTTAAATTCACATTAAATTCAGGGTATCATTCTAGAATGTGCATTTTGAACCCATTTACATAAGAAAACTATTCATGAAAAGATTTTAGAATAATCATCATCAATGTGGTGGTGAATAAGAATGCGCATCTGATCTAAAAACTCCATAATGTCAACAAAGATTAACTTCAAATCAATAAAAAATCAAACAACATTCAAAGAAGAGCAGCCAGATTAAAATTAGAAGTTTCTTGATCAAATTAAAGTTTAACTCTTTTCCATTTGAATATAGAAGGCAATTTAACATTATTAAAAGTCGAAGGGTATATATTGCCACAATGAGCATTCCAAAAAAGCAAGAGATATAGAGTCATCAAGGAGACTATCAATAAGATGAACAATCTTCACTCAGGTAAAAGAACCAACATAGGCAATGACACCTAAGATCAATATTAGTGCAAGAGAGGATGAGGGATTATATTGTAAGACATTGACCCCAATATAACAGGGCTACACAACCATCTTTGAGTAGAGGATTTGGAGGAGAGGCCCTTCTAAAGTTCAAGGAGTAGGTGAAACCAATCAAGGGGACAATCACTGCAACATCTGAAGGGAGTGACTAACAAAATCAAGGAGAGTGTCTCAGAAGTGACTAACAAAATCAAGGAGAGTGTCTTAAGATGTTGAGACATGAACTGGAAGCACTTATGCCGCAGGACAATGACGATAGAGTGACAACTTGAGGCATAAAGTGTGGCCCTAAAATCTAAATGGGAAGAATTTCATATTTTATCTCTTATTTAAATTTACCAGAGCTTCGGTATAATCATAAATATAAATCAGTCCAGCAAAAGAAAATCTATAAATTATATGCATCAAAATATTTCACTATATTCATTCATCAAATTTTAATTTATTATAGCCAGGAGATTATTTATAATATTGGTCTATCTCAACAACTCTTAACTACAAAAGAATAAAGCAAAATATAAAAATCAAAAGAAAAATTTGAAGATCCTAATAGCTCAGTCCACAGGGTCTTGACTTGAAATCAATCAAATCCATATAATGAACACACAATCCAGTAAACAACTATAACCCACCATTGCATTCAATGCAAGGTCTCAAGAATAAATATGCATGCTCAACACAATCAATATAAAATTAGTGGTCATCGATATGAAATCAATGATCAGTATCAATACATCAAGAAATTAAAATGATCAATAAAATAAAAGTATATCAAGAAGCATAAGAATTTTTCAACATAGAAGAATATCAATAATAATATATAAAATAATGTTAGGTTATATAAAGTAACACATATGCTGATTATCTATCAATTATATTCATGTCAATGATTCCAGCATATGTTCTTATTAATGATGAGCCATGTGTACTTATCTATTAGTATGTCATACAAGTGTACTATATTAATATGTCAATTAATATCTATAAGTGTATGTCAGATACTATGTTATGTTGTATCAGTTTCAAAGCTTATTTATCAATTCTATTTTAGTTCTATCTATGAGTTAGTTCATGTGCTAACATGTAAATATAATCATGAATATAATTATGAATAAAAAGGCAGGACATCTAATTTTAATATGGTGTTTTCATTTTTTTCATCTGTCATCCATGAGTCTTATCAATTATTTATTATATCATTATATCATCATCACGCCATTATTACATCATCATTACAGTTGCTTTCAATAATCTATAAAGAGTTGTCACCATCTGCCCATCAACAAAATTCAATCAATCAATTACA